ATATTACAAGTGTCCGTTCTTAAACTTGTGTTTTACTAAATTAGTTCGGTTCGGAACAATGCAATATGAGTCATTATGACGCGGAAGCACTTTAATATATTCAAACCGAAATCAGGGTGGAACGGCTCAGACAACGTCACTCGGCATGACACTTACCGATATGTGGACGCGAAATCTGTACTACTTGATATTTTCCGAACTTTTGACAACTTAATTGGTGATAAATGAGAAGACTTGGAACGACGAATCTAAGCAGACGGACGAATGATAGATCCCATTGTGGAGGCAGTTAACCCAACTAGGTGTGACGAATGTTGACATTGCGAAAGTTGTTTACAGCTGAAGAACGGTGAAGTCCAAGCTGTCACGTGTGAAGAAGAACACTCATAACCAACAATTCTATATTCAAGACGCCTCTGAACTTAGGTTTCAACGACTTAGCGGGGTAATCCACTTGATTCTGAAACCTCTCTTCCAATTTGACCCGTGAATGTGGCGAACTATGTGCCTGGGGTCTGTTTAGTGACCGCGTTGACGCAAGGTTAGATGGAGACGAAGACATGGGTGGGAGGACGTGCAGGTAGAAGGGAATAACCCAATCAGTGTCGTGACCTTCTACGGCTGGGGGTCATTCACACGCGATTGATCGTCCGGAGATCGATGTCGTGAGATGTGGGCGTATCAAATGAATGCAAGATATGTGAAAGGAATACGGGTAATAGAGAACTGCGACAGACATGACCGGAGGACCTAACCACAGCATCACCCCCTTTTTGATGAAAACAAGCAACGGGGCAGGTGCTGTGTGTGACTGACGGAGTGGCATTGGATTGCGGTGGCCTATTATTGGTCGACCGCCGCCGATAGGCATTTGTGACACCGCAAAAAATGTCGCTAAAGATGTCGATCACGACTGGCTTGAGGCTGCCGATTTGTGGCACGGTTTCACTTGTGTGTGGCGCCTATAAGCTCCGTCTTTGGGAAACCTATGATGGAGACTCTGGGGCAAAGTTTCACTAAGATCAGTCCATCGCTACATGTTACATGTAAGGCAACATGGCATTACGACCAAGTATTGATGTACATTCGGCAGCTGTTATGTAAACGGCAACGGTATTCCAAAACTTATAGACGCAAAGACTCACCAATGACGCTAGCAGATCTTTCTGACACTGATCACCTGCCTATAAAGAGGTATGTTCGTATTTGCAGCACGGGAGTACACGGGTGAACGCCTAGATGTTAAAGTTGTGAACAAAATGCCAGGCCAGGAGGGATTGAGAAAATGATCTGTTTAGGGGGTAATGTTTTAATGCCGACAATACGTCACTTGAGTTCGTTGAGTGAATTGGCAGCATTTGGCGCGGTTCCCTTGTTTTACACACTTATAGCATCGTCCTCCAAGCTGAACATCCTGGATACTTCGCGCGATGTGAAATAAGGTTGAAATCTGCAATCCCATGACCGTACCAAGCCTGCATACTTTCGAGAGTTGAACACTAGACTGTTCAGGTTCAACCATAGTACACCTTCGTTGAATTTCGATCTTGGGACTCGCTATGTCACAACAGCATTCCCGATTAGGACTGCTGGAGTCAATGAATAACAGGCATTCACGAATACGGTTAACTGGCACTTTAATTAACAGCTGTTGTGCTGAGAATGTACTCCCAGTTTTCTTCCGATGGAAGTTTGAACTCAACACTCCTCTCGAACGGTTCGCCAGACTCATATCATAGCTGAAAAACCTGAACCCAGTTTTGAAGACTTTCGACGAAGCGACTCAATAGCGTCATAAAGGCCACAGCATCATGCGATCGAAAGATTCGTTCCCCAAACTTGTGGCGCAACACCTACGAATTTCTACTTTCCGTGAACTTCAGCGGTATATTTAGTGTAGCAGTTTGTTTGAAAGAGTTTGTGGACACTATTTTCACCACCATGTGGCATGAGGTTTAGCGATGAGCAAAGGCAGAAATTTGTAGGAAGTTGAAAGTCTGATATTCAGAAATGGCTCACGTCACCAGTTGTCACACCCAGAGGATACCTGATTTTGTGCACGCGGACGTGTGACGGGCGAAATTGAGAAAATGTTGTACAGGGCAAGATGGAGAAAAACGAACCAATCATAGTGTCTCACGGCCTTCCAAGCGTCACTAGTCTTCTGGATAGTGGTGTCGTGAGAGGTGGTATACGATAAGCAGCATGGTTTTACTTTCAAATGGGCAGCACGAAACCCCGGCGGAGGAGTACGGGGGGCGTAGTGACAACACCCACCTTCGTTCTCGTTAAGAATAACATGGTTTATTCAGTTATTAAGACTGTCAAGATCCAACTATTTTTACTGTGATGTAGAAGCCATTCTATTTATCTGATCGCTGAGAACGCCGATGAATTGCTCAAACTTGACTCATTAATTTATAGCTGGTAACTTTCTTATTACTTTTTCCAACCAATCTCATCGCTCAAGCGCGAACATGTTGAAGTATTCAGACGTTATAATTTGACTGTGTCCAGAGTGCGCTGGTGAGGTGGTAACTGCCCTCTTAATTATATATCAGGAGTTCCAAAACCCGCGGAACCGACAGGCTTCAATACAAGCAGATGTGCAATAACCAGAAGGTTGGCACCAAGATAGGAGGAAGACTGTTGATACTAGACTGACGTGAATACGAACACTGAAAACTGCCAATCAGTTAGGGCCATGACACGTTTGTTTCCGTACATTGTTCGGAAAACTTGGTATCAAAGAAACAATACGTTTTTTCCTCCTGCTGTGTTAATGTCCTACATGTGTGTTTCTTGGCGCGCATCCAAACTACAGTAGAAAAAAATTCCACATTTCACTCAAGCGAAAACTCCATAACAGATAAGAACCCTACACACATTTGCCCAGAGCCATAAAGTGTCACTATCGATCAACTACTCACCTGTATGAAAGTGAATTTCGGTGAAAGCTCACCCATCCAAACTCCGGATAAGAGCTCTTGACAACAAGGATGCGCCATGAAGCGAATGCAACGTCCACGGGCTGCTAGGCGAATCACCGATGTGCCACCGTAAAAATCGAGTTTCCGAGACAGCAAAAGTTCCGTGCGTACTCGGTCCTCCTGGTAACACTCTTCTAGCACCTCGTCGGCTTTCTCTTCAAAAGTCCTTTGAAGTGAAGAGATAAAAATTCGAGTTAGGCATCATCAAAGTTTATGTGAAAAATATATTCTCCAATATGGTTCCTATCCGGTAGATGGAAAAAGTGGGCTTAACACCAAAGGTGACTTCTTTTACGAAATGGCCTATTCTTGGAAAGTCCAAACATTTAGTATAATATCAAAATGATAAACCAAAGTTAGAGACAATTAAATATAGATCGTGAGGGAGAGCAATGCTACCGGCTTAAAAGGTAACCCACCGGTCAGGAAAGTGATGAACAAACAAGCGAAGCTCGAGTCCAGTGTTTCGTGTGCGCTCTTCAGAATAGGTGCACCAGATCAGGAGGACCAATGTTCAAACGTAAATATAAGTTCCACACATCCACGCAAACAACAATAACTAACCAAAATTACTATTTGCTTAAGACGAAAATAGTGGTGGCAGGGCATTCCCGCCGGGCAGAGTGGTGCATGTGTGTACATACTAACAGCGCACTGATAATATCACCTCGACTGGCGACTGAGATCTCGCAAACAAACTGTCCAGCTGAGAGACCAGATCAAGAGTCATCTGCATCATCGACATTTCCCTCAGTGGTAGGCCAACCATTACTGGTCATTTCTGAGAGTGCTTGCCATCTTTAGGCAGGAAGACAACAATAAAGCGCACCATAGCCAAAGGGAACAAATCAAATAGAGGAGTAGGATGCATTTTTGAAACTGTGATCGGTATTTTTGAACATTTGCAGCTGTCTCCGTGACTAAACGAAGAGTAGGACGACAAGATCTGCATTTGTTGGTAGTGTGAAGAGAGTGGGGAATTTCAGCAGATATTTCATCCTGAAAACGAAGTCAATTTATGCTGAAAGGCCGAGAAGCATTGTGCAGCTGTTTCATCCTCAGAAGGACTCATCAGCAGTGAGCTTCTCAAGAAGCTCTAGAGAGTTTCGAATCCGCGTCTTCCCGGTTCGTAGTCTGGACACAGCCGTTCGCTCATGAGCAGCTGATCAGCGGTATCTCCTAAATTCACTGTATGGTGGTTTTGACGAATGAAATGACTGTGTGTCTGGAGGTATCTTGTTATGAAGTACGGTGTTCACGCTATTCACCCACAGCGATTACGAAGAGTTTGATCGTTAACAGAACCTTCTGAGAATTTGAGACTGCTAGGATAAACTGGAATACACCTTTGCTTACCGAGCTGCCTCTTCGTATTCCTCTTTACACGTGACGTCGTCACATTTGTTGGCGAGCTCACCGAACAGAATCGAAGCAGTCAATGCGGCAGCAATCGGCTCCTGAAAGGCAAAAGTTAGGAACTGGTGACAAAAATCGTAGTTTTCTGAGAACTTACTAGGAAGAACAGATACTAACGTGGCTGGAGTGTCTGCATGAGATTAATTTGAGGTTCTGTTGTGGATCTCACTTCCTCAATGCCTTCTTATTACCGTGAACCTCCGTCTGGATAACCACTTGATCACCTGGTGCGCTTGGCCAAACCAGAAAAGTCAATGAACGTGCGAGCCAGCTGCACTGTCGCGTACAAGCGGTGAAAAGTGATACCAAGAACACGACTCATCTGTCAAGGGCGAGTGAAGAACACCTAATGAAATCTGTCTCGACGAAAAACGGTTATTCCATTGTCAGTTATGTAGTACCACTACGTTCGGAGCGGTTCTCCTTATAGGCTCCAACAAGAAATACCTCATTTTTCGATGCAACACACTGATCAAAAGGTTGCTGAAAACTCTTCTACAACCCACAGTCGGTTTCGTCCTTAATGAGGCTCAGTAGATGGGCGCATTTCCAGAGTTTTCGTCAACTGCACGTGCTACTTGAACACCAAGTTGTACGCCATTACAATCAATTAGTGAACCAAGTATTTTCGATTTTTGCTGGGCAATTCGTCCGACTTGGAAGCTGGAGTATCAAAAGCTTGCATACAACATCCTTATGCGGCCATCGGACCACAGATAGTGTCTAGTTTGAGTGTATATTTGCCTGATTACCTGTCGTTCATTCTGCAACCTAAGTAGACTCACGGCCGTTGCTTGGTCTGGCTTGATTGGACTGGGTTCATCGTAACAAAAAATTATGGTCAAGTGAGCGTCGAGAAGCGGCATCTTCCCAGATTGATCTTTGCAAATGATTTTACAAAAAAACAAGTTTTTATTATCCTTTTTGCAGAAATTTTCACAAGCACCTTCCATCTGGGTAGGTTCAACGGTGTCATTGGTTTGCTATTACACGATTTGTCCTGAAGAGGCCAGTCTACCTAAAGTCATCATACTCAAACGTCTCTGGATGCATAAATCATGGGCTGACATGAACCTGTCAAGTTGAAATCATGTGAGAGTACCACTGAGAGGTAAAGGACATGCAGATGTGTTGAAATCCCAGAGCTAAACATTTCGTTTTTGGCGGTGTAACACCCTCAGGGCAAACGTCATCTTGAAGAGGGTGATTCTTAGCTTAGACTAGGTCGCACCAAATAACTACCGCATTACTGAGGATCGGACGCGCATTTCTTGCAGCTAAGAGTTCTAATTTTTGAATGAAGCTGATCTCTGCAAATAATTCCCTTGATTCGGACCCTTGTTGTGAGGAAGCTGTAGAAGGTTTAAAATTCTGGCTATAGCTTGCACACAAATCCAGTCGGATTGATCACGTGCCGCAACCCCCGTCTAGAATGAGATGGGCTCGCAGAAATTCTTTCAGATATTACTCATGAGTTGGGTCTTCAGGGGTGCAAAAAATTTGTCCCAAAGTAAGCAATAATAGGTATGTCCGGCTTCGGTTATAGTTGCATTTGCACTCTTATTACTAGCCACGTTACACCTTGCTTTTTCGTTACCAGATCATAAAACATCAAACAGTGTGCTAGAATGTCCGGCGTTGAGGTCTGAAAAACGCCCTGCTATCTCACCTTGTTTTCGTACTTCTTCAGCTCCAACGATTGTTATCAACTTTTCATCCTGTTTACTTATAGTTGGCACACATTTTTAGGAAAGATTTCAGTCTGAAGAACACACCCCCTTCATAAGCTGCTCAAAAACCTTTTAAAAGTTTCCAGCCGCCTTATGGGTGGTGCGTTCTGTCTAGCAAATGCATTGCGATATCTCGAATATCATCCAAAGTCTCTCGTCAGAACCAAATTAATTTGTAAATGAGTGTCTTCCACGAATTTAGCAGTCAGTTTCCTGCGTTTCTTCACTTTTTCTATTACGTTACATTGCCACTGGTTACCGTTGTTAGCCAAGACTGAGTTCATAGTTCATAGTTCAACAAGTACTATCTACTGAAACTGATCACACACATTTCATTTACCAAAGTTCTGGGCCTCAAAGGTGGGGTGAACCGAAGCAAACACTGGCGTGGAATATGGGAAGTTTAGATTTCCATACCTTTTCGTAGGTCCAAAACAAGCGAGCCATGGTAAGCTTCCCCAACAAGATGCACATCACCATGATCTCTCTCGCTGGACGCTCAAGGTAGACGGTGGCGGAATGTGCAAAGTCTGCAAAAAGCAAAAAACAATGACAAAGAATTTGGTATCCGTTGAAAAAGTCTAATTGTCTCCCACCCAAAAATCGCGCCCATTCACAAACGTCCTATAAAAAGGGGTAAATTCGCAGAAAAGCTTGACCAGCAAAGGTCTAAATGTCACACATGCTTATTTCAGTGTTTAATGACGTTTTCAGTCCCTGTTACAAATTACTGTGTTGAAGATTTTCACAAAGGGGTTAACCAACTACCCAGTTTTAGCTCACGCATGGTGATGTACGCATGTGAACTAGCATGCCGTTAAATCGTTGCCTGACTGATGGTCGTTAGGCTCCAACTACAGGTGTGGTTACATAAGGAGCTCCGAGCCGTAAGGAACATACTTACTTGCTAGCTTTGAGGGTTTCAGCTCTTCTAGTCCTGAAATACAAAAAGTGAATAGTTAGATGTGAAAAAGAAAGATATCGCTATATCGATCGATGATTTACAACTCGGTTAGAAACAGTGTATGCTGTCAGTGTAGTGTTTATACCTTTCTCTTGTCTCAAAACTAAAGCGTCATTGAGTAGCTTTTTTGATTCCTGTGAGATGGGCGATCTCTAGGCTCAGTTCTTGCAAACCGTCTTAGTAATGGAGATCACAGATCACAAGTACACGACAGGTTTGTAAGCGTTTTCAAACCCAATGGAAAAAGTCCCCAGCAGATACAATCGAGGCAGTCTCCTGGAGCTCCAGACAATGTGATTTCTGGATATTCAGAAGAAACAAATGTCGACCCTTTGCTACCACACTAGCTTCCCGAACAAGCATGAATGCTTCCACTGTAAGCCGACGGACGGATAGAAAAATTCACAACTAGTATTTGACCTCACACTATAGTCTCTGATGTCGCTTCCGCCAAAGTGACATCACGATTACTCCCCCATTCATTTGCTTGCTCAGCCCATGTACTTTTGGTCTCCATCCCCCCCGTCCCTGTCCCCTCCACTCATCTTGCCACAAAGGCCGCACCGTCCTACTCGGATATAAATAGTATGTGCGTACGGACGTGTGTGCGTAAGGTGCGCAGCTGACCGTCTTAACCATGCTTGTTCGTGCCCTGTCTGCTGGACCGGCCCTGACACGTTCCGTCGTGTTTTCCATGTTCACACCTTAATCAGGAGACTGGCCAGTGGACGGCCACAGTCCTCACTGCCGAGACGAGGATCTGCTTGCCGTTGTCCTCTTCACGGGCCTTGTGAGATGGACTGTGCAGGTCGGGGACAGTCTCGCGCACATGTTCGCTCTTGTGTAAGTAGTGCCTTTTGTTATTCTGGATCGTCAAAACTATGGGTGACCCAGAGTACTATATCGGGAACCTGAACAAACCCAGTAACTTACACGAGCGAACTGTTGAGCTTTCTACGAAATTAGCAAATGAGAGGCTGGGACAGTGTCGCCATCACCGAGACGAACAAATTTCACCTGCTGATCACGTACGGGATCTCATTCACATTACAGTTTTTGTATTACCACTCATGAAGTTTGTGCTTGCGGGTTCGACCAAATATATGATCAAGATGACTGAAATAACGGAATTCCGACAGCAGAATTCGAACAGCTAGGGACAATGGGTACACTGCTCCTTAAACTCTAACCTTCGGGCCTCAAAATTCAATCACTGCTTTGGAAGGGATTTTAGTTAGATGAACGCTGGAAATCAGCGTTTGCTAGGTTTGCGGTCTAGTCCCAAGGTTTGACTTCTCGATATTCACATTGCAAAACTCCCTTCAAGGTGTAACACACCCACCGAACAGATATTTTCTGGTCCTGTTCTGGTTGGTGAGGTAGCAACCTATAAAAAAAAACAGGGCACTTTCTGGTTCCTTGAGTGATTTATTTACTAAACAAGAAACATCACGTTTGCGTAATTCGTGATCCAGATTATCAGCTACCTCGCGACTGTCACGTCAGATGACTGTTGTCGTTGCTGGCACTGCTGATACAGAACCCCGTCAAATAAGTGGGCTTAACTGCCATGCCACCCGAGGGTTTCATGAGGACTGGGATGAGGACTGGAGGCCAGGATGCCCAGGCCTAGACAGGGGAGGCCGAGAGGCAGAGGTCGGGTTGGAGCCACGGACCTTCCGGTCAGTAAATTCGCGCTCTAACCACTTGGGCCATCTCGTCCGCTATCAGTAAGCGGACTCGAACTGGCGTAACTAACAATTTATTTCTGGCCGGTACGTAGCCCCATGTTTTAGAATATGTCATATTTGCACTACAGATTGAAAGTAATGTAGCTGAGGTAAGCAGACGAAGTATGACTAAATATTTGTCGGGTTCACAGTGGTGGATGCGGATAGCGTCTGCTAATTACGGTGTCCATATCCGTCCAAAATTATGCGATGCCTGTGTGGCAAAAAGAAGGCACTCCATTGAGACACTGAACCATCCATTCGTAATCAAGAGGGATGAACTCATAGAGCTTGGGGTTTCATCTATTGTCGTGCGACTGTGTAGGTAGCACACGCGCAATCAATCTGATTACCAATGAAGACGACGAAGAAAATGGTCGTGCTGCCAAAATTGTACCATCGGATCCCACTTCAGATAGAAAAGACGAGGAAACTACTCATAACGTTACTGAAAACTAGTGGGCAGCCCATGACCGGTTTCACCATAAATGGGGCTCATCAGGTAGACACAGCTCCAAAGTTTCCGTCAAATGTATGTTCTATTTGAACCAATGTTGAACGAAATTCGACAAAGACTAGACTTATTGTGTCATTAACGAACAATTACTGCGCATTTTTAACCATGGAATGCTGGCTAGCCTTGCTCTACCTGCTCTGTAGGTTGTGAAACTGCCCAAAATTGATTTTTCCATCTTCGGGTGTTAAAAGTATGCAGTTTGTATTCACACTTTTAACGGACACGGATAAACTCTGATACTGGTTGATGGTAATTTGATGATAGATTGAAAAGTCCGAACTGAAAATTCTAAGACTGTCACTTACTGTGTTCTTTTGCTTTCCCCGTCAGTCGTTCGAGTAGGGTAAACTTTCCTTGGGCGACTCGATGTCGGCGCCGACGCTCCTTCTCACGACGCTGTTCACGAGCGACTCGCTCCGCTTCTCTTAGCTGGAGCTGTACTTTCTCTGGATCAGTAAGTGGGTGCAAAAGAGAATGAGCGACGCGGCGCCCAGAAATAACGGATTTTCTTCGGGTAGGTACATTACGGGCCCCAGGTTCCCCCTTCACTCCTCGTGGTGTGAAGGTGAACGGACTGGCAGAGTTCGATCGTCGTTTTGGGGAAGGATCAGCAAACTGTGCGTGGGATCGCCGTCTTTCGTGTGATTTCGATCGCGCCTCAGTAGAAGCAGAGTGAACTTTGACCACAACCACAGCTAAAGGCACAGAACGTTTTAAAAACAAATAAACCGGAAAAATAATTCACGTATAGCCTGTCAGTGGCGCTACAAGGGGCTGATTTACTATGCTGCAAAAAAGGGAAATAACTCTGGTACAAAAATGGTGCATACACTTTCTGCCTGATACTGAAATTTATCTGGTTGTTCAGACATTTACTTATTCAGAAAGGCTGATTAGAAGACAGCTTCTTCGTCACCATCTGTTAAAGACTTCATCAACAAATCTGGGTGCTGATTCGACAGCTAGTGCTTTAGTAAGCGAAGGGGAGGTCAGTTTGTGAGAGAACATATCTAGCACCATGAGCTGCAGCAGGTTGCTTCTGAGTCACTCAGTTCGAGATGCTGGCCGTTAGGAAGACGTTTGTACGTAATTCATAGGGATATAAAGTTGTAGACAGACAAGCAACGGTTATGGTGAGTTTATTTTATTGTGCTAGGACTGCCTTATCAAGATCTGACGCATGTGTCATTCCTTTAACCTTTTCAGTAATGCTATGAGTTAGTAAATTCCACCCCTTGGTTTTCGAATTAAGTAGCTGAGGATAAATCTAATTCTTTCCACCTAACACTTTGAATTCCCCCCATTATCCACCTTTATCTTTTTTCTCTCACTGCAGAACTTTCCTCAAACACAAGTACGCTTTCAACAGCGCCGTCAATGCGGTGATAGTCAGGAATGGATGATTAACATTTAGTCAGTTTTGTAGGCTTTGTGCCATTAACGTATTTTGCGTGCACCCAACTCTTGAATGGTTAGTCAGAATTCAGTGTCCTCAGAATTTCCCTAACCCTTTGGGAAGGCTGCATAGTTTGTTGTTTTTAATTGACTCATGACAACAGATTTGAAGATTGGGAAACGTAAAGAACAGAATGGTGTATGGTGCATACAATATAAGACTAGAGCAGTGTCGCAAGTTGTGACAAATTGGCGTGCATCATCTGCGAACTTTCACAACCCCCTTAATGTGAACTGCGATACTCAGGAGCTCCAAGTTTTGCACTACTGATGTTTTTCAGCTTGGGAAATAGTCATCGTGAACTTTAGTTGCCTTTCAAAATCAATCGGATGAAACGTTTATTAGAACAAACGTCCCGCATCATTTGTGTAGGCCACGTTCCAAAAGCCCGTATGAAAAAGATCCGAATCAACAGATAGTTGATTTTGGAAACAATGTCTTGCTTATTCTAAGGAACAAAGTTGGGGCATTCAAGAACATCTGGAATGTGGGTCTTCATTACTTCGTAGTCGATTTATATTCAAGCTTCTGTATAAATAGCAACCCTCAACAGCATACACTTGAAGTCTGACGAAGCGAGTGATGAAAAATCATTGTACTTTCTTCGTTTTTTTCAGTGAAACGAAAAATCAATCAAGCACCAAAATATCCCCCCCGATAACACATATATGCCGCTGCTTTTCTGTACGACGAACCTCTTGCTTATGGTGTCCGTCTCAACTGAATGTCCTGCACGAGGCCCCCTCATGTTTCAGTCGGTAGGATATTCGAGATATCGGAAAGCAATGTTCAATCTTGAAACACTAATCGTAAGATTGCTGAACTCTTTGACGTCCCACGACCGGTTTCTCCATTTCTTGCACTCATCGGAAAAACGCATCCCCAAGATTCTATAATTCTTTTGTTCTACTCGAACCAAAATTAGACAGAATTCGACATTACACTCATTTGCACAAGAATATGGTTTATACAGGTTAGTAAGAACTTATTACTTAGCCTATCACATACAGGCTATCCTAAAGCTCTGTTGTGACCAGAAATTTCGTAGAACTTATCTTCGAGTAACTCCTACAAAAGGTCGCACAGTTACACTTTCTCCTGATTGGTACTTTTGTTTTCCCTTGCTGTAAAACTAGTGTGTTATGGATGGCCAAGACAATTTTTAGATGCTTTGTTTTGAAGCGTATGATATAAAGACAGAATAGTGTGTATAGCCTGTATAAAGACGCTTTCGTGGCTACCGAAAGAAAGTTCGGTATGAACACCTTTCACACCCGAGTCATGTTATCCCAACCAACATATTTTAAGCCCATGGACCTCCAAATATGGTACGGCCATGCATCCGGTAAGAGCAGTTTCAGAAAAATCGAGGTGGCCTGGTTTTTACCAAACCTACCCACGACTGCCACTGGTGCCTACCGTTTTCCAGAACAAGAGAGAAGCTGAGATGAGAATCTAGGCTATGACCAATAACGCGTAAACGGGTTAGTACTATCGCGAGTATGAAATCCACTCTTGCCCGAGTCGATAACGGTTGTTACCAATATGGGCTGTAGTTAGAGTAATCAGTTCTTCGTTTCATGCAGGGCTGAATCTGTACGACATTATAAGAAATTTCTAGAGCTAGTGTTACACCGGAAAAATAAGCTGAAAGCAAAAGCGCATCATTGCGCCACAACGATTCGATGTCCAAGACAGGCCCAGTACCTATAAGAAGTGCTAGAAGGCTGCGATGTTGTTAAAATCTCTTCGACACCCCACAACCGGTTTCTCTTCTCTTGGGACACATTGAACAGGCGCATTTCCCGAATTTAAGTCACGCTTATATTCTAATTGAACCCAGAATGTATGAAATTCGCGAAATACGATTGTCTGCAGATTAAGTTGGTGTTTCGCGACTGTGGATATCTGTTCATTTTGCATGTTCAACTTGGTAAGCGGATGAATGTCACAGCATGTCCTATATTCCATATTTAGCAAATACATGCCTCTGTTTAGATAAAGAATTTCTTAAAAGAATTTTCCCGTTGTTAAGCTTTGAAACTGTTTCTCCTTTTGGTGCGGTTAAACTTTCATCTTTGATAGTTAGGGTGGTAAAAGTAAAGAGCTTGAGTAAATCCAGTCTGGGTTGTGTACAAGGTACATCCCAAAGGTAAGCATGTTCAAGGCCTATCGCGGTCAGTATAAGACCCAAAGAAGAACGTACATGGACGTCCTTTTTCTGATGGTTTCTGTAGTAGATACGACGATTCTCGACGTTCTGTTATTGACAAACTCTGTTTGTCTGTTTGCTCAGACTTGGACAGTTTCCGGATGACTTTTAGGTTTGATATACTTTCAGCGACTGCTCTGGGTGGTTGGCTGTTGGACAGCCGGACTTGTGAGGATCCATCGATAACACGGTGCTTTCCAAGCGGTAAGGTGCGATGTGCACCCGGTTGTGTTGGCACATATTCACCAAATATCAGCAATCCGTTGGTTTGTCTTGCGTCACCATAGCCAACATATGGTTGATAGCCTAACTGGAATGCAGTGATTGGACGTACAATACAGCGCCGTCCATTATTTGGTACCGGAGGAAGTCTTTCGGTCTGTTTTGAGTGGAGAGAGCTAGAATGACGATGGTTAGGGCTGGTTCGCAATCCATCTGTAACTAATGTCTCAGTCGAGCCACCAATCGATTGGTCACTCTGTCCCTTAAGTGTTGCCTCGTCTTCCGAATCATCTCGCAAAGATATTCGTTCCAACAGAGGTCTACTATCTTCTTTGGCATGTGATCGTTCACGACTCCTTGTTTTCTGTGCACCTTTGGTCTTGGGGTTGTCCTTGTCTAGTTGGGTGCTGAAGTTTGAATTTTCATTGGTTTTCCCGTGAACCTGGGAGAAGCCGTCCGCCGGTGCGTCCCCCGTGACACTTTTGGATAAGCGCGACTTCTTCAAGGTCAAGTGCAATTCATCTCCAGCTTCCTCTTCGGGTAGAGTGGAGGCGGAAGTCGCATTGGATGAAAGAGATGATTCGCCTGTTTTATTGGAGTCTTTTTTCCCATGTTTGCCTAAAGAGGAGAAACCATATTGAGCATCATAATGTTTCAAATGTTACTAATTTATAAAGATTAGCTATGAAGATGAGAATGTATAAGGGAAACACAATTTTCATCGGAAATGCATTGAGATCTCCAAGAAGGTGGCTAAAAACGTTAGCTAAACTGAAATGGGGGTACACATTAGGACTTTCAGCACTAGAGCATCATAGAAGTTGCCATAAAGGCACACTAGCGTAAATATGATAGTCGACTAACAAGCTTCAGAGCAACGTTTTGGAACGCACAGGAACTCATTCACTCAGACTCGGTTTTGTTTGACAGAGAAATGTTTGTATAACCTTGTGATGCAAACAACCAGACAAATGTTCTTGAAAATGATTCAAGTCCTTTGAGTATCTGTGCGATACTGAAATCTGGTTCTTCACAAAAGTCACAGGATGGGCTCACTCCTCAAGCTGCCAAATGTCTACTTCTGGATATACTAAATGTAGGTGTGGCGGATCAACCTCGTACTCAAGTAAATATATGAAAAAATGTAACGACAGGTGCCGAAGCACTTATCCGATAATCAAGACGTCTCGAGTTCCTATCCCATTTCAGCGCATTTGTCATTTCACTTTCAGTAGCCTAGTTAAGTTTCTTTCCTGGGTAGAATTTTCGCATTGATTCCTTAATGAATGCTCCCAATTCACGTGATTCGCCAACTTAGGTCCAGTTTCTGCACTCACTGAATTGTGAAAGACTGATATTATTCTGTGATTTTAATAAGAATTCAAAACTGACCTTGGTTGGAACCAACCTCCTCGTCCTCCTCACTTGAATCAAATGCTCCTCCTTGTGTCACGGTATTTCTGAATCGTCGGGTTAAATAAAGCGGCTGGTAAAAGTCTCCCATGATTGTCTTTATAATTCGACCGACATCACGGAGCATCACCCATTCCATTTTGTAGATTCTCGCACGTTTCCACATCAACTGGAACAGTTCCGTCTTATAATCCTGATACAGGTAAGAAAGAAAATTTTATCATGGATAGTGAGTAAGGCATAGTTTGTGCTGCGTGTTAATCTCCCTTGGATATTTTATAAATATATTTACATCACAGAACACCACCAGAATGAATGTCATGCTAAAAGAAAGTCCGTAACATAATCAACCTGCTCTACTGCATTTTTCGTCCGTTGAATAACCGACTTTTGTGTCAAGCTTAGAGAATGGTTTTAGAAAAAAAAGAAAGATTTGATGGTGAATAACTTATTTATTGACCGATCTAATTTGCGAATGAGTGCGTAGGTGCGAAATGCACCCAATACGGGTTCAAGTAGGACATAAGTTTGACAGAAACTCCGAGAATGCGCCTACCTGATGAGTTGAATGAAGGCCGAAAGTGGCAGCGGTCGGAGAGCTTCCAGTAACCGTATGAAAACTGTTTTACCAGTAGAAAATACCGCGATGTACCGAACATACAACAGATCCGGTTGAAGACTATCGTAAGCAGAAGGTCTCAATGAGTTTCAGTCGATTTCTCAATCATCACTGACTGTCAAATATTACTATTCGCGATGACACACAAGGCACCTCATTTTGGTCCGGTTGTGGGATTTTAGAATTCTACACATACTGTAACTACCTGCGACTAACCTAAGTTTGCCCATCAGGTTTCAAGCCTTGGTGGGTCTACCGGACCGGGAGGTCGTGACAGGCGGGTTGACCGATCGAACTAACCAGAACAAACACGAGATCGCTTAGAGTCGTCGGACAACCCAATCGCCTGCTCAGGTGGGATGATTTGGGTGCATCCATTCGGCGCTGATAGAAAGGTAAAATTTGAGTCTCCCTTTTGTTATGGGCTCACGAGAATGAGTTAGGCCTCTAAGAGGACTGTTCACACAGAAAGGAGATGGATTTGAATTGTAAAAACACTTCGTCAAAATCTTAGCCACGGCAAAACGATTGGTGATATGTGCTTTCAAGATGGGCAGACTTGTGAACGTGTCATAAAAATATGATGGGTGGATGAGTTTGGAGCTTGTAACTCACTGAAGACCGCCGAAGACCTTAAACTTTGCTGCTAGTCGTCAAAGCTGACAGTAAGCAAGCACAGGCAAGCACGAAACAATTAAAGGTTAAATGACCTGGAAGACAACGTCACACGGCACAAGACATTTTGCTTAACATTTCTTTCGCACCTGTAAAGTACCAAATGGGACAGGAACGCGAATTTTGCCGATGATAGTCGATTAATGTATATGAAGTACATTTTCCTTTATTTAGATAACGGACCACACAGGTGCTGGTATGTATATCAGGACGTACTCAGGTTACAGGGACTGCTCACGTCCTTCGTCTAATAACCGATAGGACGGGCCTGATTTTGCAGTAGTTTCATCAGAGGATATTCGACCCCAAATTCAGTCTTGCTTGTAGTCTCATTCGACCTGGAACAAGCACCATTTTAGATTGCTTCGATCAATATGCTCCATCGATCATCCAGTTCAGACTTCATATTGAGTCCGGGGGCCAGCGTCCTAATTTGAACAACTTCTTGAACTGTACCACCTCAAGACACCGGTGATTAGCATCTCCAGTTAATACTACATAGCCGTAACCGATCCCCGATTTCCTCGCCGAAATGAAGCAAGCCTAGGTCTCGTAGATTTGGGGGAGAAGTTTGTGCTTGGCGTTTCCGGAACATGGTATTGATTGCTTCGATCAATATGCTCCATCGATCATCCAGTTCAGACTTCATATTGAGTCCGGGGGCCAGCGTCCTAATTTGAACAACTTCTTGAACTGTACCACCTCAAGACACCGGTGATTAGCATCTCCAGTTAATACTACATAGCCGTAACCGATCCCCGATTTCCTCGCCGAAATGAAGCAAGCCTAGGTCTCGTAGATTTGGGGGAGAAGTTTGTGCTTGGCGTTTCCGGATGCAACATGGTATTACAAGCTGGTACGCTGAAGCGTTTAGGGCTGTAGAGGCCGGACTAGAGTACTTAAAAGGGTAGCAAAATACACTCATTTACGAACAAATTTGTTTTTTCGAGAGCCTCACTTGGAACCAAGCTGAATCTCTCATTTATGATGTTTTCAAGCAAGTGAGTATGCTGCACCAGGTGGCCCCATGTTTCAGCTGGTACGATAGGGTGAGATGGCCCAAGTGGTTAGAGCGCGAATTTACTGACCGGAAGGTTCGTGGTTCGAACCTGACCTCTGCCTCTCGACTTCCGCCTGTCTAGGCTTGGGCAACCTGGCAGTATCCCAGCCCTCGTGTAACCTTGGCATGGCATGGCAGTTAAGCACCGAAAGGTTGCCACAGCAGCTCGTACGGTATTCGAGATATTCCGGTGCATATATAGTAGTAATACATTACACTACACAAGGGCGAAACCATCGTGGGATGTTCAAGAATTTTCAACTTACAAGAGTAGTTTGTTCGTCACATGATGGACCAACTGAAGGTTGACAAGCTACTGCCCCAGCACACCCCCTGTCAACCCTGGTCAAAATGGTACCTTATGGGATAAACGTCCTGTTACAGGAGAGAGGATAATTTTTTAATTCTATATGACAAGCCAATAATAATTATATTAGATGTCACATTGTTAAAAAAGGGTGTTTCTTGTGCCTGTCTGTATTTTAAATTCTTCTTTTTATATATGTGGTCGTCTGAGATTGGATTCTTGCAGCTCTCGCAATGAATATAAACTGTTACTGAGGCTCTCATTTTTTTGCGCACCCTCATAAAATGAAGGAGGGATTCTGACTACTCGCTTCTCAACTAAGTCTCTTGTCCCTTATTTGCCGTTTCCCCATATTTTGAGCTGTAAAACATAAGTTATCAACGAGTACAAAAAATCAATTCACTGAAAAATCAATATTGGTGTATTGATCATTCATCATCATCACCTCGTGGCAATGGACGCTAATGCAATGCACACTCGATTTCATAACCTGGATGTAACTAGCCTAAATTGAAATGCGAGCCGTTTTCCAAGTTATTTGTATATTTGTTTTCCCATAAAAGACAACTACGTTTACCGATGCACGATCAATGAAGCACAGGATCTACGTCAGAAAATGACAGTTAAGAAGTCCTAAGCCCTCAGTGATATTATAACCCTTAAATAGTAATCGTTAACAGCTTCACTTTACAAAAGCTGGCAAGTTTCACGTGGGACCTCTCCAAAGGAACTAAAAGGCTTTATTTCGCCTTTGATGAACAAGGACATCTCATCTTCTCATTGATGACCTGGACTACCAACGACACATCTGAGTTTTCATCAGACGGCTGAGGTCACAATACTTGGAACTGTTTGTAGCGTTGTCTGGAAGTGAACCAACCACAACTGAGGTCACGCTTCCTGACTTGCTCTGGTGAACAGTGAGTGGAACTACCTCACCGTACGGTGCCTTCAGTTGTCAAGTCCATTAGGTAGTATCTGGAATGTTTCCGAAAGGTAATCAGGAGAGTTGAACTTGGCTTTTGGACAACCTGCCTCTCCACAGCTAGGCACGAATGGGGTGCCAAGACAAACAGTGTCCGCATCTACTGAATTGCAAAAGATGGTCTCTGTTTCGGGTAGAAAAGCCAATATCTCCAGGATTCTGCGTCCCCTTTTGAGGATTTGAAATTCTACCCAATAATACAATGGTGAAGCTCGAGAGACCAGGAAAAAGTGTTTTTTTTTCAGTGTCCCGTTCGAGGTGCACACGAGAAAGAAAGCTAAATTTGGTGTGCAGGTCAGCTTCGGGGTGTAAGGATCATCCATCCATTTCCCTGTATTATTCAACCTAGTAACTAGACTTCTAAGGTACATGTGGGATTTCGAAAATAGCTCGGTGAAAGACGTCACAAATAGAAGATTGCAAGACTGCAAATGTGGAATACTTACCTTCCACTTAAAAAAGAATTTGTCAAATACCCGACTATGATATCATGCTTAGTCACCCTATCCTACAGGACAATATGATGACCTCATAAATTGCCAAACATAGCACCAAACATATGCCTCATAATGTTGCTTTTCCTAGCGATTATTCTCAGAAAACGTGCACCTATTTGTGAGTAGAAAAGTACTTACTGTTTTCTTCAGACTTTCGGTGTACAAACGTTCCAACGTGTGAACCGATAGAAAATGTTCCAAGTTAAATCCGTTCTCCAGCAGAAGGCTCACAAAATCATTTTGGTCGTTCAGAATCACGGTAAACATGAAATCATCCAGAGCACCCTTCTGAAAGCGAAAAGAATATGCAGCATGGAAAGTCTTTCCAGTCAGATATACAAATAAGCAGATGTCATAAACGAGATATTCAGCTGAAATTCGGTTGAGTCTACCGCTGAAACCAAATTACTGCGCCAATGAGTGTTTCACGAATAGCGTCCAATTTGGGTTAAATTAGAACGGAACGGAAACTGAGAAACTCCGTCTACCCGATGAGTCACAGGAAGGGTGAAACCGGTCGTGAGACTTTGGAGTTTTTGGAAAAATTATGTTCCACCAGGAGAGCGGCTGTTTTAGAATAACGTGCAGTTATTTTGCTCTGGAGCACCTACAGTCCGGTGAAGCCAGAAGGGGAAAATGTCTAACAGATCTAACGTTTTATTCTTCCCCTTAGGGTGATCGCTTCAGTAGGAGACATTTACAAAGCAGAGGTTCCAAATGAGTGATTTGAAACAAGCGCCAAGTAAAAGACAGCATTTGCTCAGAATTACTCGGGTTCGTGAAACTTCGTGACATCTTATTCGACTGAGGAAAGTAGAGGAGTGGAAAAGAAAACATTGAAAACGCAGTCAACTAACACAGAATAAAAGAGGATCAGATGTAGTGATGTGGAGCTGCGGAATGGGTGAAAGGTCACTGAGGTTCGAGGCACATCGAACTGGGTGGAAGGTATGAACCTACGCTAAATGGGGAATGGGCGTNGCATGGACAAAAAGCAGGAATGGGAGGCAGCAGGTTTCTAAGATATAAACTATTTCAAACATTCACGTGTCTTGTATTAACACAGTGAAACCAAACCAACATCATAGATTTCTGGATAAGCATGCCTGGTTTGGGGCATCAGATAGGCGCAGTGTATACCAGCGCATCAGTGGACATTTGGTCTGACGACTAAAAATTCGGAATGCATGGTTGACATTGCAGTTTGGCCCATCATTACTATTCTTTGATGCTGGTTCCCGAACATCTATTGCCCTATTTGAATAGCGACCTAGGCAAGTGTCCGTTACGTGAACTAATAGGTGCTCTTTCGTTCTGTTCAGATATGCTACAGTTTTGGTCTCCGTGACGTATACACCTGGCTATCCTTTAGGGAATACGGGATGTGCAAATAGTAAAACTGGCTTGTGCAAACTCAGCATCCTGAATGCAATCAGTTCTTCCCTTCTTCTTTTGAAGAGACATGATGCACGAAACAACTGGGTCAGCCTTCGTTGGAAGTGAACTTTTCCCGGGGATGTTCTTTCATACGGAATAGTCCTTGAACAGCTGCCCACACTGATACGAAAAGGGTCTGTTTATGGATGGTCTGCAGTTGGAGAGAACTGTGGCAATGATAGATCTTTTCAAGTCCCAGAAAAATCAAAATACGATCAAAATACAAAACTGAAGCATCGGATACTCGTTGAATTCCCACCGCTCTTTAGGAGCAATCCACCGATGTACGGTTGTATGCAACAGGGGGGCTTACACATCTCGAGCGTTTCGCTGTGCACTTCTGATAAAGGAAGAGATCATGTTTGACCAGATTAATATAACTGACTGTAGCTAGGAATGATCACGAGATGGCAGACGATGACTGAATACCGCTTCGACCAAGTTAGGTCGAACGTTCCATGAATTTTTGTTTATTTTTCGGATGCCCGGATTCTTCGCCTTGCGACTAGAACGAAAGCAATCCGTGCATTCGGCGAAAAGCCTGCGGTTAATGTTGAAAGACTGGCAGATTTTCTTCAAGCTTATCATTACATTTGCTGGTTACCAGTTCTAACAGCGGACAAAGGTAAAAGGCATCGAAGTTCAGTAGGAACGAGCTCATTCACCTTATAGGATGCTACGGCACTGGCTGGAGTTCATTTTTGTGGGAAATTTGTGCACCTAGCTTTGACTGACCAGAAGTGCAACTGCAGTGGGCCACGTCTTGAACAAATCAGCAGCCTTGTCCAGTCGTCTCAGCGGGCCCTAGTTATGAGGGCATTCGCGCAACGCCCGCGTGCGGGTGGGGAATGGCTTCCATGCCGTCCAAGGCGCGGGAGCTCCAAACGGTGCGACTTAATTAGGATCATGTGACGTTGGCGTTTACGCTTGGATCGAAGCTTATCCGCACAGTCGTCCTAGCGCTTGTAGACGCCTTAACTTCAGCACCAGAAACTTTAGTGTTGGGTACTCGGATAAAATCATTAAATTGACAGTGTGGCCACGCCTGGGAAAAAGAATGGGTTCTGGGTGGTTGCCCTATTGGATGCGACAACCATTAAATGGAGAATGAACTACGTGAACACGACTCAGACTTACCTTCCACCTTTTCCCTTCCAAAAATATTTTTGTTCGAGCAATATCTGCCCGGTTTAGGCGAATTGCTATCTCTAGTTGGTCCAAGTTGAGGTCATCTCGTGGAGTGTCCATGCCAGCTGCATTAAGGAAGGAAGGGACGTCGCAGTTACCTCTAGCACGGCCAAACGATTACCATTTTGATGCGTATCACTTCACACAGTTACTTGCTTTATGGGAGATGACAGAAGTCAGCATCGAAAGCATGACGCCGAATCACTTACGGGTTTATTTCTGCTTTCATCTAATATCGTGGTGGCGATCCTCACGTTTCACTTGTTAGTGGCATTAGAGAAAAGTCGCTTAAAACTAGGAGCAGATAAATGGACGGGGTCAGATGGTTGACATGGAATGGATTCATAATTCGAGAAATACACTCATTTGCAAATCATTTGGTTTTTCACGGGAGACTCAATCGAATCTCTCGTTTATGATGTTCTCCAGCTGAATGTGCTGCACACAGGCCGCCTCATGATTCAGTTGGCACGATATTCGAGATATCGCAGTACATTTTCATAAAGGAAACTACTCACAAGTTTGCTGAAAACTCTTCGACAGCCCACGGCCACTTTCGCCCTTCTTGGGGCTCATCAGGTAGGCGCAGTACAACATAAGGTTGACGGAAACTCGGGGACTGTGCCTACCTGATGAGCCCCAAGAAGGGTGAAACCGGTCGTGGGCTGTCGGAGAGTTTTCAGCAACCTTGTGCGTAGTTTCCTTTATGGATTCATAACTCGTTTTTCAACCGTGAATTGTTATTCTGGTGGCCACGGTCCAAATCCTCGCATAATTACCTTCAAGCTGACTGCTGGTCCCTATCTTAAAGTGTTGTTTCATTAAGTAAGGCGTAGAAACACGTTTTAATGCTTGAAATGGTTTTTAGAAACTTTGAGTAATGTAGGGGACTTTTATTGTGCTGTGTCTCACTTGTTTTATCTCCTAAGGATGCTCTAAATAAAAAACAACCTCACTACTTTGAGGCACTCTCTCACAAGAAAAACGGCTTCCTGATATCTGATAATTCAAATGTATGAGCTTACATTTAAACGATTTTGGTGAAACGGACAACATGAGGGTTTGGCTACACTAACCAAATGGTCACATAACAGCGTCTATATCTGGAAAGTGAGCTCAGTCACGATATAACACCAGATTTCGAACCATATTTTTGACCTCCACTTTCACCCCCTATCTTTCAACACTGCTTCCAGGTATTTTACGATATGTACTGTGGAAAAGTATTGGAATGTTTCCTTTGGTAGTGTTCTAAACTGATGAGCTGAGAATATTTCGAAATCATTTCCACATTCACACATAAATGAGATGTTGTTCACTTAAGATTTACCAGGCGAATCTGGAGTTCGGAAATCTGCTATCTGAGTAATGAGAGTTTTGGATGACACATTGAAAATACCAGTGTGGTTTTGATGGAATACTCACCTAGAATTCAGCATGATCTCTGGTTTATGAGGTTTTTAAGCCTAATAGATTGCAACATTTCTATGGTAACATGTTTCACCCTTTTTGGGGCTCATCAGGTAGGTACAGTCCCCCCGTCAACCTTATGTTCCAGTTGGACTCCAGTGGTACAGAATTCGACTCATGCAGTCATCTGCATACCAATTCGCTTTTGGCGGGAGACTCAACCCAGCTTGATTTGTCGTTTACGAGGTTCTACTTCATCGTGGAAGAGTGATTCAGCTAGGGTTCAGTTGAATCCCTCGTCCAAACCAAACTGCTATGCATGTAAGTGGATAACTCGAGTTTTACGACAATTTGCAAATCAACGTTTTTTTTCCTGTGATCATGAAGCGGGTAGGTAAACCGACATAAAAACTACGAGATGTTGCGTAACTAAGTCTGCGTTATCTTAGGAGTTATGTCTTTTGAACGCATAGCGAAGGCCTTGATGGACTTACTCCAGCGGCCTTGACAAACTTCAAAACACGTAAATCTAAAAAATATCCATTTGACAGCTCAGTGATTTTCGATTTGTTTTTATTGGTAGAAGTGCAATGCGTATCTTCGGTATCATACTATACCAAAAAATGGTTTTAGCAAAAGTCAACCAAGGTACATTTTACCTGCTATTTTGGAGACCAAAAGGACCGTTCCAAACCATTTCCATCGAACTTTCTCAACTCCCTCACCATGATCCTGTGAGTGATCATTATACCAATCAAGAACGCCCACCTTTTTGGTTCTGTACGGCATTTAATGCAACCAATGAAACACTAATCCTTGAGATTTATACAAATTTGCAGGCTTATCAAATATGACAGCTGTTTATGTATCGGAACGGATAGCTTAGCCGGGTTTGTACATGGGCTGGTATGCTGCAAAGGCGCCCAGACTTTGACAGGAAGACAGTTAGGGTCCTTCACCAAAGTCTTAAGCAGACTAGCATGAACACAAACATCGTAGAAAGAACAAGTTCGAGTAGAACATAAGGTTAACGGAAACTCGGGGACTGCGACTACCTGATAAGCCTCAAGAAGGGCGAAACTGGTCGTGGGTAATAATAATAATAATAATAACAATAATAATAATAAATAATCGTTCAGCTGTAGCACACTTTCGGTGCCTAGCTGCCATGCCACACGAAAGAGGCACGAGGGCTGGGATACTGCCAGGTCGCCCAAGCCTAGACAGGGGAAGTAGAATGGCAGAGGTCGGGTTCGAACCACGGACCTTCTGGTAATTCGATTCGTGCTCTAACCACTTGAGCCATCTCGACCCCATATCGTACTAACTGAAACATAAAGCGGCCTGTGTGTAGCACATTCAGTTGAAGAACATCATTAACGATAGATTCACTTGAGTTTCCCGTGAAAACCAAACTGATTTGCAAGTGAGTGTATGTTTCGAAGTAAAAACCGCCTTTGAATACGACAGATTCATTTAGATTCTATAATTCTATTATACACCTGCTCATTGATGCTCATCGGTATCCTGATTGCTTGGTCTTCTCAGAGCTTAATGACTCTAGTTCACTTTGAAAACCGATGAATACCAGTGGCTTACAAACAAATACAAAGGTTAGCCGGTGAACGAAGCCTTGCGACTGGGTTTCAGCACAGGAATATAAAGTGGGATGACCAGCGGAACAATCATACAAAAAGATAGATGAAAGTCGTGAAATCCCGCTGGGTTTTGACTTTCCTTCTATTGGCTCGAACTATTTAAAAACACCGAATGCTTCAGTGTTATGTATGTGTGAATTCCCAGCAGCCCATTCCAGCAACCAGTTTTATTTCCGGTGCGCTTCTTGAAGCGATAGACGAAAACGGGTGCCGTGACTTCAGTTTTCCAATACATCTGGCATCAACCGTCACCAGAGTTTGTCTGGCAGCTCTAAATCTGTGGGTCTTTCCTTTAAGATAGAGCGAGGATGGCTGGGACCATTCGAAACTTGTCCCCTTTCCCTACCATGTTCTCGCCTGATGGCACTGCAAAACCTTACACAGAGGCTGAAGATGGATACTTCACACTTTTCATTACTTAGTAAATTACATCCATCACCATAATCTTGTTGCAAGGCACGTAGAGCAATAAATAACTGGTCAAATTCCGAGTGCCAAACTTTAGTATTGCCTGCTTCTACCAATTGCCGTCAACTAGTCTTCGAAGTGAGCAAACTGCGTTTTAGGAATTTTCCGCGGGCGCTCAAAATGATAAGTCTAAATTTATTGCTGACTGGTGCTACGCTTAAGCAAATAACTCTCCGTGGGAATACAATCGATAAGATCGTTTGACCCATGTAGCTTGCAAACGCTTGCAGCCTTGAGAGCAACTTCCATTTTTACCGGTACCACAGTGACAGTGTAGCGCCCCAGTCACACACACTTGACTGTTCAACTCACAGTCGCTCACTGGATCGCGAGGCTTCTTTTTTCTCATACGCACAAACACGTCGCATTAAGCTGGCTCATCGGACATCGATTGTCTGCACCGCCTAGTCAGCGTAGCAACCACTCATGTGCCGACGCGCCCACGTATACGCACTGGGACTTACATGAAGTCAAACCGAATCCAGTCGAAACACACAGACTCGCGCGCGCAGGGAGCAGGACGTCAACCTCTCCACAAGTCCACGGACAACCATGGAGTACGTGTAGCAGTCGAACTGCGGAGAAAAACACGTTCCCGCCGTCCGGACTTCCACCAAGGGACTCTCGCATCCGATAAAGTTCCTCTGTTGACTTGCTCCACATTTAATATTGTCCGTTATTTCATATATCCCACAAATCGTTTCTGTAAACTACTGTCAACCACAGTAAAGACAGTTAAAAGTGCATGTAATTCCTGAGTTGTATTATGGCCATCCTCAGCTATGCACCAATAACTGGTGAGCTCGACGTGACTTTTATTAGTGCATACACCTAATTTGTATGTGGATATCATCACCTGTGCACTAATAACAGCAAACAGCTCGGTACTGCGTCCCGAGTGCAGGTGAAGACCACCGATAGCTACCGATATTTTGGCTGGAAAGCTTGGATAGGTTTCGTCATTTAGGTCTGTCAGCACTCTGCTCGTTGAAGCTCGTTGAAGCCCCAATTGCTTGGCTCGCCCTTCGTGCTTGCGAGTACAAGAGTACTGAGCCCATGATATGGCTTTACCAGGATGGAGCGAGGCCTGTTGTTCACTCTGCTTTGACGCGTGCCAGATTAAGGCATGTACGTGAGCACATGCGTGCGAATGCGGCACACGGATTGGATGATCGGAAAACTGAGCGAAAAGCCCCGGGTTCGCGGGATGTGGTGGAGTCACAGTCGAATAAACCAAGAACAGGTAATAAGGCGCTACATACCTGCCGTGGGGCGACAGTGTCGCATTTGAATCCATAAGCTAAAATACTTCAAAAGCTGAGACTTTTAAGCAGCTCTAGATGCTGAGCTGCATTCAAGTTAGTTGATTCTCGATGAACCCTTGGACATTTTTAACCACAAGAAAAACATGTCGCGCATGCCTTAGACACGCGGCGTGGATTTCTGTTACTAGCGGAACTAAATTAGTCTCGCCATAAATAACATGTTTGTTACAAAGACACGAACGGCTGGTAATCATCAAAACGTAACTCACCGCTACTCAGTAAAGCTGAAATCATATAGCCGTCCAGGTCGGTATCCTCTGAATCAAACACTGACAGAAGATGCGGGTACTGCTCGATTAGTTCACGCAACAGGGCAACTTGTTGTGCGTACGCCCGGTAATTCACTTGCTTCCCTTCACTTTCCTTCTTTTCAGCCTCGGTCTTTTCGTTGGGTTTCGCGAATTTCTTCTTCCTTGCCATTTTTATTTGTTCTGCGCCGGAGCTGCTTCGAGTTTCGTGAATGATGCTGCTAATCCTATGATGGAAGTGAATGAGAGGGCAGAGTGGTTGTTTGTTGTGGCAGGGTTGCTGGTGTAAACTTTCCAGTAAAAACTCACCATTTATGGGAACTACATACAAAGCCTTACTTCAGAGAATTAATTTGGATTTTATCTACAATCGTAAAGATTTTCCGGTTGTGCTTTCACATGTCACCACTTTGTGGTGGGTAGTCTGGGTTAGATCAGCATCTACTAGTTCAGGTCAAAACTTGTACTTAGCAGCGTTCGTAAATGCTGACTAGCGATGGCTAGCCTTGATGCAAGTCGTTTCGAGTGATTTGCATAACATATCCAATTGCGTGACTCTTCAGCTGCAGATGATCGATAGTCCCTAGGGTGAATTAGTATCGAGTAGGGGTTAGTCCCCTGGGCTATACGGACAGTACTGTCTTGTTACTTCGGGTCTGACCCTTGTTCTGGTGTGCAAAGTATCATAATCATAATCAGTGGTTGGGGCATTTACTTCACGTCGCCAACTTCAGCCTACCGAAGAAGGTAACATTTTCCAACTCTGAACACTTGCTGGCAAAATGCCTGTGGTGGGCAGACCTTGACGTCGCAACGCAGAATGAAGGCCAATACCTGTGAGATCTTGGCGTCTTCCAGGTTGGGGTTCACGTGATTATCTTTGCACGTGGTTAGGAACATTACTTTACTGACCCCGCTTGCGAGCACGCTGTCGCGGCTGTCTGATCAAAGCCTGCCTGTCGCTGTCTGATGGGTCCATATCGAGCGATATTGTCAGAGAACGCTGCGGTGTCTTCCTATTATCCAATGGCCAGATGCATTTGCCTCGTTAAGGCTCTGCTATGGTGATTTTTATAGTTCCTGATATTTTTTATACAGACATAAAACTGTTTGTACTTACTCGATTCTTTCCTTTTTATTCGATTCCTCATTAGGGGCAGTGAAGACTCAGTATTGTTTTTTTACTGGTGGCATTGCTGTGGTGGCAGTGATGTATGATCATCCTTTCTGACATCTCGGACTGATACGGGTTCGTGATAGAAGTCTATGTCAAAAAAAGCAATTTCACGTAGCTTTCTTCCCTATGTGTGACCCTTATTACTGGGAACAATTTTCGCGCCTTCTCAGGCATCCATGTTGCATGCATTCTTTGGACTGGGAACCTATCTGGACAAAAGTAATCTCCGGCATTTACGACACCACACTATTGTTCCTAAGGAGTTACAGGTCGTGAATGGAGCTGACGCGCATATTAAGCAAACTGAAGCAAATCCAGACAAAAGTTTAGCCAAACATTTGGAATCAGGTGGATGGTGAAACTTCACTCATCGGTTGTCTAAAATCAGGTCATTCCTTACTTCATATTTGTATCGTCTTCCGTAATAACGTTCTCCTCCAGAGAGTTCTTGAAGTTGATGAAGTCAATCACATTGGCTATGACATCAGCAGTGCCTCCAGTTCCCTGGAAAAATGATAGGAAATGATGAGGTAGATTGGGCAAAGTCTGGGTGGTAATATGCATTAATGTTTTTTCCCTTATCCTCTTTTCGAGTACACATTAGTTTAAGGAGTTGGGTGGTACCAAAACTGACTTGGAGTGGTCTTGAACATAAACGCATTATTGGTAATATCTTGAAGAAACAAGGGTCAGATAAGTGCTGCATCGCTCTTGTTCACGAAATTCAATGGTGTATACTGGCACTTGGACGCAAGTTTGTACAACTCTTTTTGTTATTAGTATACTTTAAATCGATTTTGATTTAGGAATCTTTGATATACCAGATTTTCAAGCAAGGATTCGATCTCACAAGTGAAACCAATGAATGTTGGGCGGCTCAAAAGCACGGCTCATTGTCTTCGTTATTGCAGGAGATTTTCAACAGCATGCTTGAAACAGTGAACCCTGCTTTCAAGCACCTTCTCACTTAAGCCCGCATTTAAGGGATCTACATAGATCTTCAAGAAACGAAATGCAACCGAAGACGTGCTTCTAAACTATCGTTTTGCGTAACCGTCCCTAGTCCTTATCAGTCTTGATGTTCGGCAGTTAAGTGCATCTACTGACTGCAATACAGACTTAATACCTTCTACCCAACCGGTTTTAGGCCTCGAATTTTTTGCGGGAGAATTGAAGACTGCAAAGTTCCAAACAAGTTGCCCAAGTGACTTAAGGTCATATCCAACTATACTGAATTACTTCGAAAAGAACAACAAACGTGGGAATACTTTTAACTCTTCAGTAGGAAACAAATTAGTATGAACCACCTTCAGCACAAACAAAGATTCTGATGGAAAACGTTTTTAGAGAAAATGAAACTTGGAGATAAATTCCATGAGAAGGCTACCAGTCAACAAATTCGATAAAGGAACTTGTGGCGCGCGAAAACATCCTAGCTGATATTCACTCTCTGGAATAGAGGTTAGTGTGCTGAGGTTTGTCATGCCCAAGGGGCAACATCTCTGTTTGTACGAGAAACGGTAAGTCAGTGGTCAGCAGAGCATACAATTCACTTTCATTTCGAAGCGTAGGACTTTCATTGACCAAAACCGTGGGAGGAAACAACTTGCTGGATGTGTATTTATTCATTTTATTAGTTACTATGGGACAAAATAGTGTTATTTGTAGACGAAAACTTAGAAAGACCCAAAACTGTAAAAGAAGTGCAAAGTTCACCAATTGCCTGTAATGTTTTGGCAAAAAATACACTCTGACGAGTGCTTTTCCGTGAATGTTGATCCATAGCATCAACACTGGTACACTTTGGATGCAGTATTATAAAGATCTGCTTGGTTTGCCTGGAGCCTAGTAATTTGTTTTAGTGGTTTCCAAGACTATCGTTTTCTTCACTATCAATCACTAAATTTTCCAGGGAAGCTGAAACCTGTGGCTGTCTCTTCTTCTGTATAATAAAGTTCATGGTCAACCCCCTACACTACAGTATGGTAACCGTCACACAACCATAGAATTAGCAAAGATCTACTTACCGAGAAGCAGAAATTTTTTACGCGGAAATTTTTATGGCGGCTGGAAGAGTTCGGAACCGTCTGGTATAGCATCCAGGATAGCTAGGTTCCTCTAGGCAGAATCACACGCGAAATCTCCACTACTGGTTTCTTTTTCTTTGACAAGCAAGACCTTAGATCATCTTCAACGCCGAGAAGTTGAGTGGTGACATTCCAGACATAAACGAATCGCAGCACACCACTAACTAGGCCATTCACCTACAGCACCTGCATCAGGTTCCCCGCACCGCCCATTATCAAACCCCAGGGTTTCTTCTTTAGATAGGAATACGAGGGCTCACCTAGTGACTAACACACAGAAGGGGATTTTCCAGTTCCTAGCTTTTCCAGATGATGAAAAACTGGTAACTGGCTGGTTCTCCTAGTCTGTTTTCAGGTACATTCCACGGACTTCTACACCGACGTCCCGATCTATCCCCAGTTCACTCTAACTATTCCCCTACGTGACGAACTCTCGAATCTTGTCAGGAGTCAATCTGCAGTTGCTCATAAGTGAGACGTATTCGTTTTGGGAAGTTCACAATTTGTGACAAAACTCGTTGTCTGAGGGGCGATTTGTCAGAGTGACTGAGGTTATCTCAGACTGAAGAGGAGGTTTCCATGTAAAGTTGACTTTTCCAGAAGATATTTTCAGGTCAGTCCTAGGAGACATACGTATTCGCATTAGGATAGACTAGTAGTTGCTGGGGGGTTTTGGCCTGCCTTCAGTTATACGAACTGGTGTGATAACAGCCGTATATGAGGCGTTTTCCAGTTTGAGCTACAGCGAAAATTCACCTATTTATGGGAAGCGCAGATGGCGAAATTCTTTGTTGGTCTCCATCTATCGACTTAAACAGGCTAGGGCGTCGTGTCAATTGATGCCTCAGGAGAGTCAGAAACGCTGGGCATCTATATGGTGGTTCGACTGGACGACAAACAAACAAGTGGCTTGATGTCCTAGTCATGAGTTCTTATGAACACAGAAGGCCCCAGATGAATGGACGCCTGAGGTTCAACTTCCATACCAGACCTAGCCTGCACTCACCTTTACGATTACCATCGGACAACGATTGAGTGTAACTGATGCGTACACCTGCTGTAATGTGGATTCCCCACCACCAGCAACGATACCACAAATGGGAACGCGTGCAACCGTATCGCTAGTTACAATCTCGCCATCACCTTCGAGTTGTGCGGTCTTGTCCAGAAGCCCCGGTTTAGAACTTCGTCTGGATGATGTGCCGCCTGTTGATGATGTCTGGTCCGGGTTTGCAGATTCACTCAAACGTTGGGTTGGCTGATCCAGGAGTGTGCATGTGAGATCAGGAAGGACGACTGATGCTCTCGGATGACTTGGCAAGTGCAACTGAGGTGCATTTAAGCCGGACCGTTTCTCCTACACAGAGATAAGTACTTTTTGAAAACAAAAAAACATTTCATACCTGCGATGTTTTCCGCAGCTGTGGATTTTCAGCCGATTTTCTGTTTATTTCTTCGGTTTGAGGGGGCTTTGTGGAAGTGCTGGATGCTGCTGGGCTCTCGGAGGGCTATCGACAAATAGGATTAGCAGTGGAGCAAAATAAAGTTCTTAGAGTACTCAATCAATTGGTGTCCTAGACTGAAGAAGCAGGGACGAAAAAATCCGGGTTCATCATAAAGACGAACCCCCCCCTAAACCGATCTATCGTAAAGCTTAGCCATCGCACTAATCAACAAACAGGGACATCAGACTGAACACCCAGCACTGATCACGTCACTAGTCATAAGGAATCTCACGGATTGGTTCCCTGACTGCCTTAAAACCCAATCAACCTACTTACTTACTCACTTGGCCTGACGAAGTTTTTGTGTCAAAAGCGAAACGTTGCCCAGCAATAAATCCACCGATTGTTTACCAAACCCCTCTGAAACGATCCTTAGAGTACTGTTCTGTGCGAACCAAATGATTCAGTAAATTTTGGTCTGAGAAAAACACGGAGTGCAACGGAACAGCTCCTCGAAAACACCTCAGACAGGCACTTATTCAAATCACATACACGAATTTCAGTCATCTCGGAATGTTTGTACAGGAGCGACAGGATGACAATGACTAATTAAAACAATCAACAAACGCTTTCAAACTTTTACCTCACTGCACCGTACTTTAACACCTGTCAGAGTCACAGTAAGCTGTTCTGGAATTATTCGCATCTGTCTCAGGAGCCATTTAAGGTTGTAGTGAAGCCATCTTTGAAAGGCTATATGTTCGTTCCCATACCTATCGCACCAACATTCAGCAATTTACTTGCTGCTATTGTCATCATTTTGCTCACGCGATTCCTACAACCACCTCGGCTTAACAGTGTATGAATAGCTAGCTAACGTGAATCCAATTGGTTCGCATAGTGTGCGGATTCACATTTTGTGCTGATTCTCTTTGTCTCCCTGAGAAGGGGGGAAATTCTGTTTGCGATACAGCAAATTTTCGCATGAAACCTGACGATTGGTAGTGAGTTTACGCGCAACTTTTCTGTTTCCGGTGGTTTATACTACTTAGATCCGCCGCAGGCCCCTGGGCTTAGGGTAAGGTCCCCTGTCTTAGTTTGATTCATTGTCGAAATGGACGTTATCCTGTTTTTTCTTCGTGCTGGCGGTTTATTGTTCGGACTCATCTCCAACAATTCCTACGGTGTTACCCCGTTAGACCGAGATAGTTCGCTAGCTTCAAATGATTTAGCCCAATCGTCAAATAGCGTGGATATAAATGCCAAGTACCTGCTTTGTTCGGAAGCACAAAGCCTTCCGTAAGAGGTACGACGAATCCCAAGTTACGTAATAGGTCTCTGACGTCCTCCAACACGGTTGCACACTTCCTAAATTATACACCTGTACTACAAATTCTGGAAATTCACTTTGCAAATAAAATATGGGTGATTTTCACATAACTAGCCATAACAAGCTCAGAAAGAGGAATTAATCATACAACGAGTGAAATTTCCTTCCAAAAAGTCGCTACTCGAAAAGCCATTCAACCAGCCAGTTAACCACATGACTGGGATTCCGTGATCGAGGGATGAGGGGCGCTCCTCTGCCTAAGTCTGAGTTAATCACACCGCTCATCAGTCGTTCTTGGAGGTACGGTTAAGTGTTCATTTGGTAGCCGGTTGCGGGTTTGATACTGCTCCGAGTTCCGTCAAGCTCTCACTGCTGATGATTCCCAGTAAGGAAGAAAGAGCTGTGCTTGGCTTTTCGGCATGGATTATATATAGATCGGAAGAGCGG